GTTCATCACTTATAACTGGTTGTGTTCAAAGCGTAAAGGGGAGTACATCTGCACTTTTTTTATACAGTGTTGCATTACGTGCATTTTTCTTACCATGTGATGAATATCCTTGATATCCCAGGTTTCCTCCCTGTGGAACAGATTAAGTTTGTTTCACTGATTTGTGAATGAACATGATCTGCCACTACTTGTTACTGAACCAGTGGTGCAATGTAACTTACTACTGCATATTTGTACTAAGTTACATTACTTGTTATGCTACATTTTTGAAGATTCTGTGAGAACGTGTTGTGGAATATTACATAAAAGCTATGAAGCATGAATAAACAAATATGATCCAATGATACAATATACATGTGACTGTATTTCTGAAGTATCATTTTGAGTTTTCCTTATTTAATGCCTCTAAATACTTGTTTCAACACTTACAGAAATGATTTAACACAGTAAACTCCATTGCAGTGCTGATTTTCATATCATGCATTCTGTATGAAAGTCATCCTTAATGCTTTTCTGCAGACTTTTATCTATTTATTATCAAATATTCTAATCAATTTCCTATGCCACCCCCGCCTGCTTCTTCATGGTCCTGTCTGCTCCTCCAAAATCCTGGCAAACTCGCTTGATAATTTAGCCTACTTTTTAAACCATGCTCAACGCTCATTGCTGATTTCCTCTCTTTCCACAACTGGTCCTAGTTATTGGGATGAACCCGTGCCGTGTCGGCCAGTCGCTCAGTTGTTGATCTAGCCCCAGCAGAGGACGCAGGCCTATTGGGATTCAAGCCCATCGTGGTAGCTAGATTAAATAGAAATACTGTTTTGTCCCATAAAACTGCACACAGGCCACAAGCTAATGAGAGTTAAAGCACCAGTCAGCAAAGCTTGTGGAAGAACTGCCAGAATCTAAGCGATTGTTTTCATTTCCATGTAAACGGTCTTCAATACCAGCAGAATATGTCTGAACGAAATGAAATCATATTATTAACACCCCCCCCCTGAAAAAAACAACAAAAAACCAAAAAAAATAATCTAACTTACTTACAATGACCAGTTCACCAGTTCAAACTGCAGCTGATCAGTGTCTGGACCTTCTCTTCATATTTTAAATAGACTGCTACTCACCTTCTT